TTTTTATTAAACTTTTGTGATAAATTTATATATTATTTTTTTGTGACAAAATTTTTGTTAAAATATTTGTGTTGTAATTATATAAATATCTTTTTTGTTTAATATCAATTTTAATAATTTATGACTAAATTTTTCATTACAATTACATTTGCAATTGTGACGAATATTTTTTTTGTGACAAATAAAATTGTTATAAATAACTTGTTAATAATGTCAATTTTTTCTATCACTATAAGATTATTTTCTATGACAGGTGCCTAATTTGTTACTAAGAGCATTAGTGACAAGGGTTTTACTAACATGTTAAATTTTATCACTAATAATAATTTATGACAAAAAATAAAGATTTAATGATCAATAATTTAGTCATTAAATGTGGATTTTCTTGTAGTCTTTTGTACTACTTTTTTTTCCAAACTTGTAGCTTGAACAGCAGCTCTTGGAAAAATAACCTCCAAGGCACAAATTATTAATTTGTGCAGGAGCATCCTCTATTATCTGCTCAGCTTCTTTTATGTCTTTCTCCACTCTTTCAAGCCATCCTTCTATCTTTTTAAGGGGCTCCATGAGCTGCTCCTTTGCAAGAAGAACCCTCCTATTCACATCATCTCTTTGCTCTGTCAATCTTTTTGCCTCAGCCTTCAAAGCTTGAAGATTTTGTTCAAGCTTACAAATGTATCGTGCTTGTCCAGCAACACAGTCCCATGATCGACTAACAGGCTGATCTACCGAGATTGAGAAAGAGAAACAGTTTCCCATGGTTTGCTCAATAGTTGATTGAGGGAGCTTCAAACAAAGTTTTTTTCTTCTGAAAAAAGGGAGAATTAACTCTATAAGATTATATTAGATAAAATTTATAGGATAGGATATCACTGAATTAGATATCATAAAATATATTACAATTTAATGATACGTTTGGACGATGATGGGATTACGTTGGATTAGATATAACAAAAATGACCTTAAATTACAATCAAACCAATACTCCTAATTTTCTATTTTAATTTGTTTTTATTTTCAATAGTTTTTTTTTTGGTAGAATTATTTTCAATAGTTAAGTTATGGATTAATATTAATAAAATTAATTATCATTATTTAACTGAACATATCCACAACAAAATCCCAATTACCCAGTTTTAATTATCATCAGAATTTTCCGTCTCAGAAACCAAACAGACAAGCCACCAAAGCATTCTAACAAATCCAGCTCAGATGCACCTTCAAGCAAACTAAAGTTTGGATGAAAACTATGTCCATTTAAATGTAAATTCAGCCAAAAATAAATTAGTTGTTTGTTCGCTAGGAATTTAAAGAAAATTAACCAAAAAAAAGGGATTCCATTTCACTACAAGAAAATCCATATTTAGTGATTAAATTATTGATCATTAAATTTTTATTTTTTGTCACAAATTATTATTAGTGATAAAATTTAAACCGTTAGTAAAACCCTTGTCACTAATGCTCTTAGTGACAAATTAAATACTTGTCACAAAAAATAATCTTATAGTGATAAAAAAATTGACATTATTAACAAGTTATTTATAACAATTTAAATGAAAATTCAGCCAAAAAAATGTCAAAGGAAATGAAATACAGGATGAGCAAAACTCATCAATACACTCACCGTCTCCTTTCCTCCTTTGTCCTTCACCTAGAACTCCACCACGACTACATCACTATAACTGGATTTAAGAAGTCTTGATCTTTTCCGATGAAATCTCATCGGAGATTTGGAGTTCCAAACCATCATTTCATTCTCCGATCTACAGCACGAACCCAGATGAAATTGAATCGTTTCACCACCGAAGTTCTTATAATGGATGTGGGTTACATTTTATTTGATGATGACCGTAAAATAGGATAAAGGATTAGGTAGAGGGTATCTCATCGCACTACCAAAAAATTCACATTTAGTGATTAAATTATTGGTCATTAAATTTTTATTTTTCGTTACAAATTATTATTAGTGATAAAATTTAAATCATTAGTAAAACCTTTGTCACTAATGCTTTTAGTGACAAATTAGGCACCTGTCATAAAAAATAACTTTATAGTGATAAAAAAAATTAATATTATTAACAAATTATTCATAACAATTTTATTCGTCACAAAATAAATATTCTTCACAAATGCAATTATGGTGCAAAATTTAATCATTAATTATTAAAATTGATATTAAATAAAAAAAAGATATTTATATAAATACAACACAAATATTTTAACAAAAATTGTCACAAAAAAATAATATATAAATTTATCACAAAAGTTTAATAAAAAATATTATTATTTCAATACTAATTAATTTTGATTAAAATTAATCAAACTCGATTAAAATTAATAAAGCCTGATTAAAATTAATCAGACCCGATTAAAATTAATCAAATCCAAACTAATCTCAAGTTTTATTGAGTTTCACATGTTTTATAGTGCAAAAATTTATTTTCTTAAATATTTCTTATCGATGTGGAATATATTTATAGTGTAAAACCTTATTCTCTTATGTGTTTTTTTATCGATGTGGGATGCATTGATTAGAGAAAATTGATAGTTTTTAGTGATGAAATATATTTTTTAGTGATGAAATATATTTTTTAGTAATAAATTATTTGGTTATCATTGAATGTGTAAGGTATATATGACTAATATTAAAATTCTGTCATAATTGTAATGCATTATAGTGATGATTTTTATGGACAAAAACTTATTTTATCTCTATGAATATTTTTTGGTGATGAAATATATTTTTTATGATGAATTTTTTTGTTTATCATTAAATATGTATGCATATCTGTCACAATTGTGATAAGTTATAGTGATGATTTCAAAATTCATCACAAATTTCTGTCACCAAAAATCATTTTTTGTAGTGTTTGCAAGGTTGACTAAAATGAAATTTGTGTTGCTCTTGGATGACATATGGGAACGAGTTGCCAGTGGGGATTTCAAATTTAGTTTCCTTTCAGTGTCTCAATATCAATAATACTTCTATAAGGAAGTTGCCGATGGAGTTGAGTATCTTATTAAAGTTGAAATGTTTGAACTTGGAGATGACATTTAATCTTGAGACAGTCCCTGAAAAACTAATTTATGGTTTTTCAAGGCTGCAAGTGTTGCGGATGGGGTGGACTGGTTTTGACGCCAGTAGAGCGATAAATGGGAATATCAGCTTCAGCAGACTTGAGTGCTTGGAGTGCTTGAAATATTTGAATGCCTTAACAATAACTATGTGTAATGACTCTGCTCTTGAAGGTTTCTTAAGCTCTCACCGCTTACAGGGTTGTACAGAAGGATTATGCATTGATCGACGGAGGGATGACTCTTTGTTTTCGCAGAAAACTTTATGTTTACCACCTATGAAGCGACTTCAGTATCTGTCATTGGAATCCACAAGTATGGAAGAAGTGAAGATCGAGTGGGAAGAGGAAGGAAGAAAGATACAGACACCGTATGTCTTTCAAACCTCTGTGATTGCAAGCAAAAGAAACTTCTACAACTTGTGGATGGTCTACGTATCTTCCTGCACAAATTTAGAGGATATTACATGGATCATTTGGGCCCCAAATCTGAGAAATCTCACTGTTTCTGACTGCCGTCGAATGAAAGAAATAATTAGTGAGGGTTGAGTTGCAGCGATGAACGGGAATCTTATCTTGTTTGAGAAACTCCAAAATCTGTTTTTATTTTCTCTACCAGAATTGAAGAGTATCCACAGGTTTGCATTTTCCTTCCCATGTTTGGATGTAATTGAAATAGTTCATTGTCCAAAGCTGAGGAAAATCCCACTGAGCCGCAACAGCGCAAAAGGGCGTAGAATCATCATTAGAGAAGCGCAACAGTGGTGGAATGAGCTAGAATGGGAGGATGAGAGGATGAATCCGCACGGGGCACGTTTCTCCCGTCATTCCAAATTTTTTAAGAACTAGAAATTTCCAAAAGATATTTTAAATTTGCTTCAAAGGAGGGTGAATCCACAGGGAACTCTACTTTTACTCTTCGCAGATCTTGTTTGGTTTGTGGGTGTGTAATTGATGAATAAAAATTATGACAGTGGTATGACATCTTCCTCTTTCATTTTACAATAAAAAAAAAAAAATTCACTCTTTTATTTTACTTTAAGCTTTTTTTTTTTTTTGTGAAATCCTTTCGTAATATTTGAGAATGATGTTATATATAAAAGAAAAAAAAAAAGAAGAAAAGTTAATTATTAAATATGTGTAGTATTGTGTAAATTTTAATTTTATTAAATTTTTATTTAATAATTATTAAATATTTTAATAGTTTTAATGTCGATATAATTTTTTTTTTTTACCATAATAATTAGATTATGTATTTTTTATACTTTAATAAGCAATCCCAGATGAATTGTGTGGTAAAGTAGCATTGGCTCACAATATCTTTTTTTCTTAATAATTTTTCTGGCTCATTTTTATTTCTCTACATGAATTGTTTCACATTCAGTAGAACTGGAAGCACGACTTCGCAGCAAAATATTAACCAAGTCCTCCATGTCAGCGCAGAATCAAGATGGTCAGGGAGGCCATCTCTTAGTTGTCAGTCTTTTTAATGTATATGAATTGCATGTACTGTTGAACTGACGCCATTTTTTTTTCTCTCTTTTTGAAAATGCTTTTATACATTGGGTTAGTTAAACTTTTTTAAAATTAAGTAAAAATTAAATTTTAAATCTTATATAAGTAAAAGTATGAAATAAAATTTTTTAAAAATTTTATAATATTTTTTTTGATAAATAATTAAAATAAAGTTTCTATCCTATCTTTTATTACTTTGATTAGTTGTTTTTATTTTAATTGATTAACCCAATTCAAAATTTAATTTTTGATTACTAAAATTTTGATTTTTTTAATATAGTTCATTCAATTAACAAATCTCTTTTAATTTTTTTAAGTAAAAAAATCTTTTATCAATAATCAAAGTAACATATTTTCATTAATTAAATTTTTAGATGAATTAATCAAATAAAGAATTTATTTTAATATGGAGTAATTTGAAATCGAATAAAATAAGTTCGCCTCTAATAATGAAAAAAGTATTGAGAAAAATGCATAGAGAGAGTTTTGATTATTATTTTTTAATTTAATATTAATTTATTTAACTAATTTTAATAAAAAAAGTTAGTATTTTAATTAAAAAAATAAATATCATTATCGAAATTGCGAAAGGAATCAGAAACCGTTACAGGTTGTATGTTGACATCACCTTTACACGTGTCGAGACCATGCGTTTAAAATTTGTTACCATACGAAATTCAAAGCAGAAACCTCCCGTTTGCATTGTGCTGGTGAAGTGATGTAATGAAAATAAAAGTAAAGTAAAAGAAGCATTCAAGTATATATTCATCAATTTAAATTAAAAACATGTAATAAACAAAAAAATAGGGATTATAATTTAATTATTCATCACATAATTTATATGATTTGGTAGAAATAAGATAATCTCTAAGTCTACCTAATGATATATTAAGCTAATAATTGATAAAAAAAAAATTACTTAAGTTTGCTTAGGTAAGATCATTTTATTGGTTGAAAAGAATATTTGAGATTTTTTTAAATTATGTGATTAATTGAATACTTTTAATTAGAGAGTGTATTCAAAATATATACTATGGTATTGATTTTATTTTTTATTGTTGAGTGATAGGACTAAAAGCCCAAATCCTTTTGATCTTATGAAAATTATATTGTTACGATATCAGTTATTGAATGAATATTAAATGTATCGAGAATCGACTATAACTAGGTAAATTGAAAGTATATATGTTAACAATAGTTAGAGTGGCTAGAGTATCTTTGTATTTTTTTAAACAAATTAGTTTTCTTTTGTTGATAAAAAAATTTATGGAACTAGATTCATTCCAAAATGAAACAACAATTTATAAAGGTAAATAATTGCAATTCATTTTATCATTCCTTATGTCTTATAATTGTGAGAATAATATCTATCCACTTTATTTTCTAAAAATTAAAAGAAAATTATTTGAAAACTATACCATTTCAATAAACTTTCATTGAAAAATATTAAAATACCATATCTTTAAAGTATGAATAAAAGTGTTTTTTGTTATATTCTTATAGTGTTTTATTAAAATCATATAATTTTAAAATAATTTTTCTTTTAATCTTTAGGAGATGAGGTGGATAAACATTAACCCCTATAATTATTATATATCTCAAGAAAAAATGTAGTTTTATTTAAATTTTCTCTTATCAATACATCTCATATATGTAAAAAAATACATAAAAAAATAATGTTTTACTTTATAAATATACACTACAAGAAAAATGGTTTTTAATGACAGAAATTTGTAATGAATTTTAAAATCATCATTATACCTAATCACAATTGTGACAGATCTAAAAAATTAGTCATAAATGCATACATATTTAATGAAAAACAAAAAAATTCATCATAAAAAATACATTTTATTATCGAAAAATGTTAATAGAGATAAAATAAGCTTTTGTCGATAAAAATCATCACTATAATGCATTACAATTATGACAAAATTCTAATATTGGTCACATATACCTTACACAATCAATGATGACCAAATAATTTATTACTAAAATATATATTTCGTCACTAAAAA